TAACTTCTCAACCAAAAGTCGCCTGATGGTGATTCTTTGTTCTATACCCCTCAATTGGATAGTGTTCTTTCCATTCGGCTACTCAGAATTGGCCAGGGAGCTCTTCTTATAGTCGTTGTGTAAGCCGCAACAGTGTGTTGTCATTCTTCCAAAATTACTCATTACATGGGACCTGTTTCTAAAATTTATTTGGCACCAAATACAACTCCTTAGACAGAGCCAACACGCAGGTGTACTAATTTAATAGTGCTCTTTCCACTCGTTCAATTCCCATAAAGATCCGATGCTTGGTTCTAAAGATACAGCTGTCTCCATGGGCAGTGCTGAAAATTAACGAATTTGGGTCATTTCGCCATGTGTAGATATACAGTAGGAGCTAAGTGAGATTAAAAGCAATACAAACGATATTCAACGAGCTTATAAAGCATACAAAGAGCTTCGTAACAGTACCCTTCTTGTGTTCATACGTGCTCTGGTTGTGAAGTTATCAGTCTCACCATKGTGAAGATGGTGTTTTATTGATAAATAGAAAATTGTGTGTTGGAGTAGAATGACTTTTTGCTGTGTAGGTTCTAGTACACGTCTAACGATTAACGCATTTTACTCCGATTAAACTCGTACGTACGAGTACCGTATTGGTTCGAAATAAGACGCGACAGCTTTTTAACAGTACAAAATCTACATAGCTCCAGGGGGCGGAATGATAGTCTTAATTTACACCCTGCACCTCAAGCTGTCACTTATTTCCACCTGGGACCAAAAAGGAGCAATTTCAGTCAAACTGATTCCTATTTCGGAGCACTTCCGAGCTGTTTTTTGGCTCACTTTTTGAGAATTCAGATCAGCGAAACGAAATCGATTTCCAGCCACTGTTACTATTAACATGATTGAATAAAATCAAAATCCAAATAAATTCCAAGAGATTTCTCTTGACATAAATCACTTACTACTGGGGCACTCTCTAAGAAGGCACTAACTACTGGAAGCTGCTCTTACACTTCAGCAACTTTGCCAACTACAGGATCAGCATCCTCAACTAATCCTTTGAGGACTCCTTCCACCAGTACCTCAGCAACAATACTAGGCATATTTGGAGTGAAATCAACCCATCACAGAAATTTCATTACTGTACTAGTAGCTAGTAGTAGTAATGCTACTACTACTAGCTACTACTAGTAGTATCATGTCTTAGTAGTAGTAGTAGTAGTAGTAGTAGTACTATTTTTTTGTTCTTGCTGCTGTTGACTCCTCTTTTGTTCCAGTTGAACAAGAACAATACTACTACTAGTACTACTAGTAGTAGTAGTACTAGTACTAGTACTAGTACTAGAATAAGAAACAAAAACAACACCATCACTCCCAGTTTTACTAGTGCCACAACAAAGTTTGTCTTGCAATCAGTTTGTGTGACTTAATTTCTTATGATCTGATTCCTTCAATATATAACTGAAATTTGTCACTAGTATTTTGCCATAAAATTGTATGGTAGTGATTGTGCTGTTTGTTATACAATTGTTCAACAAGAGAAACTGGTGGTATAAGATATGGTGTCAGTACAATACCAACAGTGCCAAATTATGGTCATGGTACTTAGCCATTGATGTTTCAAGTGGTACTTATTCTTGCAGTGGAAGGGATTTGTTATCATATTTGAAGCCTCCTCCTTTTAATCTAATGAAGAAAGTCTTCAAACCTTTGCAGAATTACAATAGTATTATTGTTGCAGTCAGGATCTCTTGTTGACAATGGTGTCATTTTGAATTCATTCCTGTAAAGACACGGCAGGCTCGCTTAAGGTACATGTAATCCCCTCTTTTTAGGGATTTGGAATCCTACATCATGTAGTGCAAATTTGGTCACAAGATTCTTCATGGCGCCAACTGAAAATGTTCAGTCAAGAATTCCAATAAATATGTTTCTCAAATATACAGATCTTGGTTGTTGTAACGACTGAGCTACAACCAGAATCTACATATTTGAGATACACAAAACGAGCCAGCAGGTCAAAAAAGGCCTGCATTAATATTTTCAGGAATGAACAACCATTGCCTGCTTCATTGCTTTAGGATTCATTGAATAAGGCATCGACAAGTGTTTCCAGTTGGCTTCACAATGAATACTTGCGAAGTGCTTCCCATATTTATTGAAAAATGAATAATTGAAACCAATATCTTTAAATATTTTCATTCCTGCAATATATTTTTCCTTTTATTCTAAGATTTTCCAACGTTTTCATCACTCCGTGCTCATCGTTCGTCCATTCCATTGTGTAGCTAGCCACACTCTTAAGACTTTCGTGTGCATTGTTCATAGCAATACCCAACCCGGACATTTGGAGAAACTCAATATCATTGGTACCATCTCCAATAGCAATTACATCTTTTATTGGGATATCCAATTTTTCACACATGTTCCGTAATCCACGTCCCTTGTTCACATTCGGATGGAGGATTTCCAGAAACCAGTCCAAGTCAGTGTTGAATGCTGCGACGATGTGGCCCAACGTGTCCGTCGTCGCTTGCTTACAGTTGCCATCTACGGGCGTCGGACAAAGCAATTCCGTAAAGGACGGATGACAAGTGGCAAACTCTTCCTTTTCACATCGGACCAGCATTTTTGATGGTAATTTATTACTGTCGTCTGACCCAATGAATTGATCAAAATTGTCAACAACTTGGACAGGACTATCGGTTAACCTTTCGTATTCTTTCACCATTTGATGGTGAATTTGTTTGGTAGGATTCGCATAGATTCCGTCGCCGAGATAGTACTGAACAAAATAGCCTAGTTCCTTGGCGAGTTTGATGGTTTTTAACACAGCTTCTCTAGGGAGAGGAGTATAGAAGAGCTCCTCCTGGTGTTTCTTCTCTTTTGCGCCACATGTATTATCGTACGATAACAAAAATCCTCTTGCTCCGTTCGAGCAGACCACCGGCGTAGGCTCGGGGAGAGCGAGTTTGTTGACAATATTATACACTGATGGAGCTGCTCGTCCAGTTGCAATGCAGATTCGAAATCCTGATTTGTAAAGTGTTCGTAAATAGTCCGCCTGTTCGTCGGCAAGCTGGTGGTTTGACTGCAGGAGAGTCCCATCAAGATCTAGGGCTACCATGCGGAACCCATGACTGTTGTCATCAGAAATTGTTGCGTTCGCCATCGTCACAGTATGGGTCGTGTGAATCGTTTTCAAATAACGTGAAGTAGATGGGATTGCCAACGATGCAATTGTGATGGAGGTTACAGAATTGAATCTTCTTGTTCGATACTGAACCGTACAGGTACCGGTAGATGCTGATTTTTGAATTGATTTCTGTGAACTGAGAAGTTCTCGTTGGTCAAAGTGGAAGTTGTCGTGTTTCGTACGTACTCGTAAGAAAAATCGGATTACAGTAAAAAGCCCTGCGCGCAAAGTAGAGATGGGATTGCCAACGATGCAATTGTGATGGAGGTTACAGAATTGAATCTTCTTGTTCGATACTGAACCGTACAGGTACTTGTTTGGGTTCGAATTAAGACTATCCCTTTATAACAGGTTATGAGTACACAAAACGCGCCAGTTTTTTGCTAACATTGCTTGCTTGTTAACTCAAGCACAAGGACCAATCAGAATTAGAGAATCGATCAGTKGGAAAGGGTTTTCCCTCCTCTTTCGGTACATGCCCATATTGTATATGTTTCCTGTCAGAGAACCTTTTCGGGCTTGTTGATTTCTGAGCGCACGGAATTTTCCAAAAAACTCATTAAAACAACCTCCAAGAAGCAAAGCTGTCACCTCTTTAGTTCTTTATCAATACCCAACCAATCGCGCTCACAAGACAAGATTTGTAATCCTTACAACAAGGGCTCAAGGATACGGAAGTATCGGATCGATCGACCAAGTGGTTTTGGAGCAACAGGAGTCCTACTACGTACAGAGAAAAATCAACGTGAAAACAGCAACGACGAACTCTCCAGTGTAACAAAAAAGAAACTGTCTTCCCCCCCCTTACCGAAACAACCAGTGTGTCGGACGTCCTTAATACATCAAAGGAGACTTGATCCCGAAGTATCGTTGCAATCGGCCAAGTATTTTGAAAAAAAAAGCAGTTTTTGCTGTATTTTGGGTCTATTTTGGCTCTGAAATGAGCAACAATGAGCAATAAGAGCAATAAGAAGATGAAAACAAGCATGCCAGGCCCCCCCCAGGCTAGCGCTGTACTCCCAGTTGCACTATCGATCCGGTCTATTACCAAGGGATGTGTGGAAACGCGTGCTGAATCAGCGATTTGCACCAAAGAACAGGAGGAAGGAGGGGGAAAAGCAGGGGAAAAAGCAGCAATATCAAGCAGGTCGACGCCAGTACTAAAGGACACAGTTGCAGTTGGATCAGTAAGAACAGGACGCGCGGTCGCGGCTTGTGAAAGAACAACCCTTGCTGCTGAGAACTTGCATGGTTCMAAGTCCAGGGGTCTCCAGTGTTCTGTGAAGAGATCAATGATATTTGCTCAGTTCACTGAAGAGGAGGCGAACAATAAAGCGTTACAAAGAAGAGTGCAGAGGTGCATGGAAAGGATGATTAAGG